ATGTACAAACGGCATAATCCCATTTTTAATAGTCTAGATGGGTGGGGTGGGTTTTTTTCGGGGGTTTGAAAGGTTACTATTAATTGTTACAAAGTGAGGGGCATTTCATCAGCTGTCTCTTATCACTACTATATATATATAGATAAGCCAAAGAAGACTAAAAATTCATATGGTCATCTTGTGGCAGCCCAAGAACTCTCTTCATCCAGAAATTAGGGAGAATTCTCTGGCTTTTGTCCTCCTCCACCTCAACCAAAATTCCAGATTTCATGTTCACCAAAAACAAGAAAGAGAGAGTGAGAGAGACGAAAAATTAATTTTCAAATTCGAAATTTAAGCCAACAAAAGACAAATAAAACTTGAGTAGAGTTTCTCAGTATATAGTCTTTATCTGATGTCAAATATTACCGGTGATGAGGGGAGTTTTTCCTCCGGAGAAATTCAACAGCATCAAGAAAAACCGCAAAATTCAATAGTTTCCAATGCTACGACGAATAGCAACGGCTCCAGCTCACAACAGCCGCCTACTAAGAAGAAACGAAACTTACCGGGAAATCCAGGCAATTTTAACAACTCATGAATCTTATTGTATATATGTTTTTATACCAATCCATCTCTTTGTTTATTAATGAACTAGACGACTTGGCATAGAAGGACTATTGCAGTTGACTCCAAATTTATTAAGAAACAAATTATCGTTATACCTATGGCCTGCATAAGTAGAAGTGCATTTATCATCATAGAATACAGTAGGGTTTTAAGAGCTTACCAGTTATCGAGATTCAGATTTCTTTTGGGGAAAAAGAAATAAATTGTAAAGGGTCCAATAATTGAATTCAGAATTACAATAATTGCTCTACAGTGCTGTGCATGATTGCACCTTTCTTTATCCTGTGTGATCACGAGATGTCCTATTCACTGAATTTTTTAAATTCATTCCCAAAGTCATATGTTGTAATAATGTTTTATTTCAAGACATATATGCTGGAGTTTACTTGAAGGATAATGAGTAACAAAACTAAGTTTTTTTTTTTTTGGTAAAGATCCGACAGCAGAAGTTATTGCACTGTCACCAACAACCCTTATGGCCACAAACAGATTCGTGTGTGAAATATGTAACAAAGGGTTCCAAAGGGATCAAAATCTTCAATTGCATAGGAGGGGTCATAATCTTCCCTGGAAATTAAGGCAAAGAACAAGTACGGAGATAAAAAAGCGCGTTTATATATGCCCCGAGCCATCTTGTGTGCACCATAATCCAGCTCGAGCATTGGGAGACCTTACGGGAATCAAGAAGCATTATAGCCGAAAACATGGAGAGAAGAAATGGAAATGCGATAAGTGCTCGAAGAAATATGCAGTGCAATCAGATTGGAAGGCTCACCAGAAAACCTGTGGAACTAGGGAATACAAATGCGATTGTGGAACCATATTCTCTAGGTTCATCTCTTACTAACCGATTTATCCACAATGTGTGATATTTATTATTCAACTGCATGAAGCATGATCGAATTGTACCACCCATATTTTGCCG